AATCCCTCGGCTAGGCTGGCCTTTGTAGCGCAGCAGGGACCCAGCAAAGCGTAATTACCCCTACTGCCTTGGCCGCGTGTCCGTTTGAAGCCTCTTGGTTGGTTTCACTGCGATCAGCCTGAGGGATGATAAATGAGGGCTAGACGGACAACCAGGCGCCACGTGTCAATCAGGTCGTCGTCATCGCATGCAAGCTACCGAGTTTGTTGAAATCAGCCTAGGGCAACCTGCGGCTTACCGTGCAGGTGATTCAGTGTATGAATTTGATTTACTGGTACGGGTACGGGCGGGGATACCCCAATCGCTTTGAGCATCCTGCTGCCTGCCACATCTGCTGTCGCGCTGTGGCCACGGTCTACAGTGCTGCCCTTCTCACGTCAACATACTTATCGTCACTGCATGCATGCTACGTTGGGGTTTATCTACTCTTAATATCAATGCATTTCCTCTTTTGGCGGCTTGTGCAAAATCCTTGGGTGGCGGCTGTTGTCACTTGGGGTCAGCCAGCCTTTGGCGGCGGGGTCGTTGCGGGGTCGTTGATGGCACGCACCCCAAGGTGTTCACTTTCTATGAGGAGTCAATCATAATGGCGCGTGACGGCAATATACCATAATTTCCAGGTTCACCTAGGCGAACTGTTCATCGCGCACACGGCACCGTCAGCGAGATCAATTGTATTGTAATTGGAGCAGAGCCAGCAATATCTGCGGCGCACTTCAGGCGCAGGCATGGAGTATTTGACAGAGCAATTTTGATGCTCACAGGCCGGATAAATAGGGCAGCGTACGCAAAATGAGGCACGCAGGCGCTGTTGTGCCGCCACCATTGGCGCGCAGGCCGCCGCGCTGCGTGCTGCTTGGCTGCGGCTGCCAGCGGCGCACGAGCAGCCTGCTGGTGCGCAGCAGCAGCAGCAGCAGCAGCAGCAGCAGCAGCAGCAGCAGCAGCAGCAGCGGCCGCGCTCAGTCTGCGAGAATAGCGGTGGCTGCAGCGGCACTCGGCGGGGGCCCCGCGCCGACCACCGGCGGCCCTGGTAGCAGCAGCGTCATGCCGCCAGCCGAGCGCAGCCAGGGCGGCTCCGCTCGGATCACCAGCGCCAAGATGCTGAACCGCCGCGGCCAGCACGGCACCGCTCCAGGGCGACAACGAGAGGACAACGAGCAGCGGCAGCAGGGGTTGCCTGGCAAACAACGCGAACAGCGGCAGCAGCAACAACAACAGCAGCGGCAGCAGTGGCAGCAATCCCGCGGCAACAGAGACCAGCAGGGCAGCAAGGCCAGGGCCACGGGCCCGCCACTGCCACACGGCTTTCTTGCTTCCTCCAACGGGGGTGTCACGCCCAGCGCTGCGTTCCTGGAGCGTTTAGAGGGGGCGGTCGCCAGCGGCGACTGGCGCCAGGTCCAGGCCTTCTCCAATGGCATCATGAATAGCAGCGGCTACGAGGAGGGCGAGCTGCAGCCAGCACACATCCGTGCGCTCGCGGCCGCCACTGCAAGGGCCCTGCGCCGATGGGCGGTGGCGGCGCTGCACGACATGACCGAGGAGCAGCGGCGGCAGCTGGCGGCCGGCAGCCCTTGGCGACGCCCGTGGTGGGACGCGCGCGTGGTGGTGCGGCCCCTCAGGGTGCTGCAGGCCGTCGAGGTGCAGCAGTCGCGCGCAAAGGTGCTGCAGGACACGGAGCAGGCGGTGACGGTTGAGGGCGAGGAGGAGGAGAGGAAGGGGCCAGTGGCGCGGCGCCATGGACACGGCCAACCGGGAACAGCGGCTGGGCAGCGCCCGGCGCCGCCGCCCGAGGCGGACCAGGTCTGGATATTCTTTCGTCACCTGGGGCGCACAGCAGCGGCGTCAGGGCAGGTCGACGCACTCACGGCGGCGAGCCTGGTGAACTGCGCTGCCGACATCGGGCTTGTGCTGGGCAAGGACTCCCCCCTTGGTGAGTAGGCAGCAGGGGGGTGTGGCAGTGGTTCCCTTTGTGACTTATTCCGACGTTATCATCAGCAGGGAGGCCTTCGGTGGCTTGGGATTTTCGCCAGAGCGGCGCCCAGCACGCGAGGCATTTGCCGCCGCCCAGCTTACGCCCCGCCTGGATGGGCTGCGGAGGTGCGGTGGGGCCGACACTCCCATTCTGCCCACAACACAACCCTAGGTGGCCGCAGCACGCCGCAGCTGGCTGCGCTGATTGGAGCGTTAGTGGATGACGGCATGCAGGGTTTCGCTCCCGCCGGCGCGCGTGCCGCGCGCCTGGCCCTAGTGATGCAGACGGCTGCGGCGCGCATAGGCTTGCGGTGGCAGCGGGGCAGCCGCAACGTCCTGCCAACGCTTGGCGAATACGCCGCGCTGCTGAGCCCCCGGGACTGCATGGGCCTGGTGTGGGCGTGGTCACAACGGAACGGCGCCTGGAGCTGGCAGGGTGTTGCGGGGATCTACCAATCCCTCTCGGCAGCCAGCTCGCCCATGCACCCCATGTCTTTGCCGCGCGCCGCTGTCGAGGTGGACCTCCTGGCGGCGCTGCCTGTGCAGCCGCCGCCCCCCGGCTACATGGACAGACTGATTGGCACGCTGGCGGCAGTTGCAGACAGCAGCGAGGGCAGTGTTGGTATGTCCAGCCTTTCACGAAGCCGCCAAGTCAGCATCCTGGCGGCGTTGGCGGCGCACCGCAGCTGGGCCACGGAGGGCGCCCATGGCGAGTTCGTGGCCCCATTGTGCGCGAAGCTGCTGCTGCAGTGCTTGCGTGACGATCGGCTAGAGGCGTACCTGTTCCAGCTGGCTTTGAAGGCCCTGGCCCGCCTCCACACCAATCAAACGTACAGCGTCACACCAGAGTGAGCTGGGCACGCAAGAATGTCAGGCAGCAAGCACAACCTGTATGGGTCCTGCATACACGTTTTTCGATTGGGGGCTGCTGCGAGCGTTACGGGCAGCAGCTGTTGTACTATTCCAACTTTGAACCCAGGTGCCTGTGCGTCGGCCGAAGTCCAAACACCTTGCATGTATTGCGGATGGCCTCACTTCTCTCTTCACTCAGGGTGTGCCAGCTGGTGTTGCGGCAGGTCGAGCTGGTGGCACAGGACTGTACGCTGCAGCAGGTCACCACGACATGCCACACGCTGGCGCTGTTGGGTATTGTCCCGCCACGCAAGACCCTGCAGGTGCTGGTGGCAACAATCCGGAAGCAGCTGCTGCGGGTGGATGCGGCTCGCGGCGGCACGGTGAGAATTTTCAAGGGACCTTTGCCATCATATGTCAATGGTTGATGCAAAACAACACAACCGGCTGCAATCACAACAGCATGCATACAAAGCGAGTCTCAGGGACACATGCGTTGCGTTGCATATCACTTCCTGACCGCTGAACTCCTGTCCGCCTCACCATCCTCCGCCCCTTCGTCATCTTCAATCCTGGCCATGCAACAACTTCTGGCGGCACGCCCTTAGTTTGTGGCACGACTGGCAAACTCTCTGCCGTCCCTGGGCTGCAGCGGCACGGACGACTTGTTTCTGCAGCTATACAGCAGCGGCCTTGCCTGCTTCTGCGCTGGCAGCATGCCACCAGGCTGTGTCGCTGCATGGCTGCGCGGGCTTGAGCAGCTGGCTCCCCGGGGCAACCTGGACTGGGGGCAAGCAAAGCAGCTGTTGGCGGCGCTGGTCGACTCGTTCCTGCGCGACTCCCGTTCGCGGCGCGGCGCCTGGCAGGTCCGCCGCTACAGCCCAGCAGCAGGTCGGGAGGCGGCGCCAGCCAGAGACGCAGAGGACGCAGCGCACAACCCTGCAATCTCTGGCCTTGTCAGCAGTCACGGTGACACCTCTGGCGCGCCTGGCACGTCAGCCCATGTTGATGACTCCGACCAGCATCAGGGGCAGTGGTCGGCTACCTCCCTTGTCGACGTGCTGGACGCCCTCTCAGCGCTGGTACCCAGCACAGCAGGTATGTTTTAGCAGCAGGGCTGCGCATCAACGGGGGGTATAGCAGTGCTTGGCAGCGTGCCATGTGGCAGGTCTTGATGATTTGGCTTATCAATGCATCGCCAGTGTGCCATCGCACGTACTTCATAT